CTCCCCTCCGCCCCAAACACAGACCGGCTCGGCGCGCCTCGGAAACCCGGAAGGAGAAGCTGCCCGCGCCAGCCGGCTCGGCCAATGAACGCGCTCCTTTCCGCTCCCTAGCCAATAGGAGCCGGCTCCGCTGCGTGCGTCCCGGCAACTGGCGCGAGGGCGGTGGCTCGCGGGCGGAGCGGGGCGGGGCGCGGCTCCCTGAGGTAATGGCGGGATGGCGGCGGGGCCGCGGCGCCGGCGGGGCTGTCTCCCGGCGTGTCGCGCCCTCCCTGACTCGTTTTTTTACACCTGAAGGGAGCTTAAAGCTGAGGAGGCAGCGCGGGGAGGAGCAGCAGCGTCCGGCTGTCTCGGCCGTAGGTGGCAGGTGGCGGAGGGAGGAAGGGCGTCATGGCGAGGCGGTCAGCGCCGCTGCCTCACAAAAAGCGCTTTGCGGCCTCGGTGTCAGGGAGCCTGCGGGGGGCTTCAGTCATTCCGGAGGCGACAGCCGAGCTGTTCCTACTCTTTCAGGTGCTGAAGAAGCTGCAGGCGGTCAGTACGGCTTGTCTATGACATGGGAAGAACCATAGACCTGTCTATGAAAATAACTAATCAGGCGTAGGGCAGGACAGAAAATACAAATCCTTCGTGACCGTCTCTCAATCTGACATTCGTGTGAGTCCTGACTAAAATACTACTTCTAACACTGCACATTTAATCTAAGAAATCCTGCGGGTTTGGGGCATAGTCTGGATTTTAAGCCAATGCGATTCAGATCCCCAGTGCCCTGATTCACAGCACTTAAAACTCTACTCTGTTGCCTGCAATCCGCATTTAGAAGGTAGATCACTGCTGCCAACAAGCACATGTATTTTCAGATTTTTATGGTGACAACCTTTAGAAAAAAAAAGCAAAAATACTTGTAAGCACTCTTATTGCATGCACATACTTATCATTCATCTGTAAAGCAACTAGTTTTGGTGAGATTGCTATCAAAGCTCTGGATTTAGAATAAAAACAACATGAGTACAGCTATGGTATACAATAAAAATTTACTAGTGTTTTTAAGATTCACAATATAATTTGTTCAGGCTTTTCCTTTATATTAATTAACGTATTTAAAAACAGGAGAACAGTATTTTTCTGGTTCATAATTAGAATTAAACCAATTGCAGTAAAGTGAATATGGAACAAATGGGATTTCTGAGGCAAATCAAAAAGTACATAAACTCCAAATGAAATGTTTGAGTAATAGACTGTAGTAGGATTTAGACATTCCTTACTATGATTCTAGTAAAACTGTGCTGGTAACTTTACCCTGCTTCTAAGCATATTTGAAATACTTCTTGTAATCAGATTATACCAGATGCTGGGGAAGGTTTGGAGTCTAGGACTGCATGTTGAACCACAGACAACTAGGCAGATCTACCAGCTTGGAAAAGTAACCTAAACCCCTAAACCACAGATGAGCCCATTGCCTTCTCCTCACAGCTGACTTCAGGAGCACAGAAGAATTTAAAATGAGAGTGAAGCGTCTCAGAAAACTCGGTCACAGCCAGTGGAGACCCTCCCAGCTGTCAGCAAGAAGGAAACACACCCTCCTGGGTAGCTTCCCTCACAGCTGCTTTAGCTGCTTTTAGAGCCAGGCCCTGGATCATCCAAATGACAGGCAAAGAATTTGTGTTGCTCTCATAACCCCCTGTGCATTGGCGCTTAGGGAACTCCATATCCTTTTAAAGAGTTGACAACCAGCCTCAGTGTAAATACTAATTTTCTAAAATTGCTGGTGTGGCAATTATAATTTCAAATAAAATTTTATGTGCCTTTTCACCAAAGAAGGCGCTTAAAGGCTTTCCGCTATAAGCAGGTTCAACCAAAATATGATCTCGCAATTCTTCAAGTTCCAACTGGTGGGAGAAGAAAGGAGGCAGCAGATGAATTGAGCTACAATACCCTTGAATCCTCCATCCCAGAGCCTCAGACGTAGTAAGTACCTCTAAACTGCAGCAAGAAAACTTAACATGTATGTTTGTACTTCCAAAGAAAGGCACAAGCATGTGTAAAAAACTCGAGTACTGTGTCCAGTTTTGGGCCCCTTACCACAGAAAAGACATTGAGGTGCTGGAGCAGGTCCAGAGAAGGGCAACGAAGCTGGTGAGGGGTCTGGAGAGTAAGTCTTATGAGGAGAGGCTGAGGGAGCTGGGGTTGTTCAGTCTGGAGAAAAGGAGGCTGAGGGGAGACCTCGGTCTCTACAACTACCTGAAGGAGGGGTGTAGAGAGGTGGGAGTCGGTCTCGTCTCCCAAGTCACAGGAGATAGGACAAGGGGAAATGGCCTCAAGTTACGCCAGGGGAGGTTCAGGCTGGATATTAGGAAAAATTTCTTCATGGAAAGGGTTATCAGACATTGGAATGGACTGCCCAGGGAGGTGGTTGAGGCACCATCCCTGGAGGTGTTCAAAAGACGAGTTGACATGGTCCTCAAGAATATGGTTTAGTGATTTTTATTTTTTTTTATTGCTTATTTTTTTTTTTTTTTTTGTCAGATTAGGTTGATGGTTGGACTAGATGATCTTTAAGGTCCCTTCCAACCTAGACGATTCTATGAAAACCATATGTAAATTGCTGCACATTTCCCCCCCACCTTGTTAGATACACTGATTTGAATGTTTTAATCCTGTATTTTCAAATGTTTTCTTTTAAATGGAGCCTTTGGGCTTTTGGAATAACATGGCAAAGGAAAGAAGAAAGGCAGCTCTTACTGGGAAAAGAAAGGAAAAAAAGGAAACACTGCAGGGTCAAATACAGTATTAATGATAATTTCTCATCTGACCTGACAATATTTCTATTCTAAACATCTTGCTACAACAGCTTTTAAAGCGTAGGTCATAGCCAGATGGCAGTCTGTGAAATGTTGCCCAGTCAGGCAGCCCTGACTCATTGTTTCCAGCTGCTGAACAACCTTAAGTAATTTTATTATCTTAATTTTTTCGCTTAAAACTGTTGCTATAGTTTCATGGTAATTGCCATTGGGAATAGAAGTCATGCCTTCTTTGCAAATGAAACCAAGCCTTTGTATTTTGACTTCTGCTGCTCAGATACGATAGAAGCTTACTACTTTTTTAGTTTTCATAAAAATTAAATATTTGTGATGGGGAAACTTGATTTAAGTGCACCTCATGGTCTACCAAGACTAGCTGCTTATTTCTACGTCATCACAGAACTCTACCACTTAAGTTACAATTATAATAAAATCATTTCTTCTGGAGAAGCATGACAGAAATGTATGTACTAAAACCACTAAATTGGGAGCTTCTGGGTATTAGTCCATGTACTAAATATTGGCAGAATTTTTGCTTGAGTAAAGCCCATAAACTCTAAAATTCATGGATTATAAAAATGTCTGCCCAAATCACACCCCATTTCCCTGCCTGCAACAGGAAGAATTAACCAGGGAGGGGGCATAACCTCTCCTGGCCAGCCTTTTCTGTGCATGGACGTTCCTCCCACCACGCAGCAGCCACCAGCCCCCTGCCATCCGTGTCACCTGGAGCTCAGCTGTCCCTCAGAGCCCCAGCACAAGCACTAACAGGAGCAAGGAGGTGACAGACCTGCCCCGACTCTTCTCCAGCTGCTGCCCTACAGCCGCCAGGCGTTAAGAAGGACTTCTCTGGAACACGTGGAGCAACAGGTGGACTTAGGTGACAGTCCTGCTCCAGGAGTGCCTCAGGGACACTAAGGCCATGATAGGAACCAGTCCTTTTCTGCTCCCCAGCATGACGACCCCCAGTAACGCTGTCTTGCTGTTGCACTGGCATCAGCTCTGCCTTTGAAGCTGGAAATGGTTTATGGGTGTGATAGGGTGAAGGTGGCTGCTTGTACCGCTTGTTGGTGAGCCTGGCCCCTAGTGTCATTGTATCCTACGTAAAGACTCAGTTCAAAACATGAAGGCTAAAACCCATTTCTAAAAGTTAGTATTTCTACAGTGATGTAAAATCCAGAGGGACCATGACAAACTTCAACCCCTTTCTCTTTACATTGAGAGATGTTTGTTAGATGTTGCCTCCTCTAACAGTTCAAAGCCTCGCTCTATGTATACACATTATTAATAAAAATAATTATTTTCATTCCACGTTTATACACATCTGTGACTTGCTCTTCTCGGAGCATTGCGTAGTGCACTGCTGGAGTCTCAGAGTGATGAGTTTTAGGCAGGAATCTCTACCAATAAAGTGTTTGACCAAATTGATCGGGCATTGGAATAGGCTGCCCAGGGAGGTGGTTGAGTCACCGTCCCTGGATGTGTTTAAGGGATGTTTAGATGGGGTCCTGAGGGATCAGGTGTAGGGGAGGACTTTGTAGAGTAGGGTAGATGGTTGGACTCGATGATCCCAAGGGTCTCTTCCACCCTCAATGATTCTATGATTCTATGATTGCTGGTGGGAGCTGAAGGAGACTATGGATATTGTTACTGGATGGAGAAACATCTGCACGTACACGACATCTACACGCAAAACCTCAACCTGGGCTGTTGAACAGATACTTCTAGTTCTTTCCCTTTGAGATTAGTTCAGAGAGGTTTTGTGCTGATCAAAGTATTTAGACTCTAGTGTCGCTTTTTTCTCTTTTTGTTCAGTTTGTATTTATTTATAGAAAATTCCTAACTACTCATGAGGACCTTATACATTGCTAGTTTTCTGGAAGTGGCTGTCAGGGTCGAGTCCATTTTACAGATTTGTGCTAGCGTTGAGGACCAAGGTACTAATCATTCCTGGCAACAGCTTTCTTTGCTTGTGGAAGGTGTTTTGGACACTGGTGTGAAACATGCCTTTGTACCCACAGCTGCATCACACCATGTGCTTTGTCACACAGGGACCGTCCCTGCTAACCCCAGACACGTTCTGCTCTTGGGGGGTGCAGGGCAGTTCATTCTGTCTGGTTCTGCCAGCTGGTAATGAAATAAAGGCCGGCAAACAAACCGACCACAACCCTCTCGTTGCTCGCAATTAGCCGGCTGCATTAATGACCCCCCTGTGATCCCTCCCTTCCCGTCCTGCTCAGCCCCGGGTTCTGCTTCCTCTCTCTGCCTGAGAAAGCGTGCTCCAGCACGGGCAACACCCTCTCCTGCTGCTGGCCCTCTCCCCAGTGAGGAAGTTTCCCAGGCCTCCTCTTCCAAGATTGCCTAAGCCCACAAGAAGCAGAATACGCTCTACTGGAAGTTCTCAGGAATCAAATTAGAAGACAAATCATATAAAGAGCGGCTGAAGGAGCTGGGGCTGTTTAGTATGAGGAAGAGGAGGCTGAGGGGAGACCTCATCACTCTCTACAACTACTTGAAAGGACACTGTAGAGAGGTTGGTGCTGGTCTCTTCTCACAGGTAATTAACAATAGAACGAGAGGGAACAGCTTCAAGCTCCAACAGGGCAGGTTTAGATTGAACATTAGGAAGGAATTTTTCACAGAAAGAGTGGTCGGGCATTGGAACAGGCTGCCCAGGGAGGTGGTGGAGTCACCATCCCTGGATGTGTTTAAGGGATGTTTAGATGCAGTGCTAAGGGACATGGTGTAGGGGAGGACTTTGTAGAGTAGGGTAGATGGTTGGACTCGATGATCCCAAGGGTCTCTTCCAACCTCTATGATTCTATGATTCTTAATCAACAACCTGAAAACTAATTGAAAATTAGCAACCATAGCCTACAGTGAACGGATAAAGGCTTTTCTCTGAACTAAAGCAATCCATAGTCTTGGTTTTTTATCTTTTTGTTCAGAGCACGCTCAAGATTCTTTACCAAGGCAGTGAAATACCCTAATTAGGTAAAAAGATTTATGTGTAGTATTCCAGCAAAATAGTCATAGTGTGAGAACAGCGCTATAGGCTCTTCTATGCTCCTTCCCTCATAGCAGCAAAATACCCTCCTACATCTAGAACAAACAATGCCAGTAAGAGCCCAGCTCTGCTAATATTTCTTAACCACAGGCTCCCGCGTCAGGCTTCCATCCTCCCACCCGACTCACACCGGCACAAGTGTGTCCCACCTTTCCAGAGGACAATCCTACTCTCAGTTGATGGCTTTGATGAACAAACCTCTCTTGGCTTCCACAACACTGATTCAGCTGGAAACAAACTTCTTCAAACACATGGATCCAGCCCCTGCCTTTTTGTCTCCTCAAGCGCAATGCGTCTGTGGGCCTCGCTTTGGGTAACCCTGCAGCTTCTCATGGCACTGGATAAAACCAAACCCTTGCATGTTTTGCATCAGGGCTCGGTACTGGGGCCAGTTCTCTTTAACATCTTTATCAATGATCTGGATGAGGGGATCGAGTGCACCCTCAGTGAGTTCGCAGATGACACCAAGCTGGGTGGCAGTGTCGACCTGCTGGAGGGTAGAGAGGCTTTGCAGAGGGATCTGGACAGGCTGGATCGATGGGCCGAGACCAACGGGATGAGGTTCAACAAGGCCAAGTGCCGGGTCCTGCACTTGGGTCACACCAACCCCAGGCAGTGCTACAGGCTGGGGGCAGAGTGGCTGGAGCTGCCCGGCAGAAAAGGACCTGGGGGTGTTGGTCGACTGTCGGCTGAACATGAGCCAGCAGTGTGCCCAGGTGGCCAAGAAGGCCAATGGTATCCTGGCCTGTATCACGAACAGCGTGGCGAGTAGGACTCAGGAGGTGATTGTCCCTCTGTACTCGGTTCTGGTGAGGCCCAACCTGGAGTACTGTGTCCAGTTTTGGGCCCCTTACCACAAAATAAGACATTGAGGTGCTGGAGCGGGTCCAGAGAAGGGTAATGAAGCTGGTGAGGGGTCTGGAGCACAAGTCTTATGAGGAGAGGCTGAGGGAGCTGGGGTTGTTCAGCCTGGAGAAGAGGAGGCTGAGGGGAGACCTTATTGCCCTCTCCAACTACCTGAAAGGAGGGTGTAGAGAGGTGGAGGTCAGTCTCTTCTCCCAAGTCACAGGCGACAGGACAAGAGGAAATGGCCTCAAGTTGTGCCAGGGGAGGTTCAGGTTGGATATTAGGAAAAATGTTTACACTGAAAGGGTTATCAGACATTGGAATGGGCTGCCCAGGGAGGTGGTTGAGGCACCATCCCTGGAGGTGTTCAAAAGACGGGTTGATGTAGTGCTGGGAGGTCTGGTTTAGTGATGGTGATGCTTCTTGTGTGTTGTGTGGGTGTTTATTTTTGTCAAAATTAGGTTGACGGTTGGACAAGATGATCTTTAAGGTCCCTTCCAACCTAGAAGATTCTGTGATTCTGTCATTTTCTGACTTGCAGGCCTTCAGCATTTTCTTGATGCAAAAACTTGCCCCGTGGCTCTTTATACTAAAGCCGTAAGACTTTAATAAGGGAAGGAGGGAAGACTTGGAGCTTGTATTACCCTTTGGAAGCCCAGATCGTACTGGTGACAACAGCCTTAACACAGGCAAAGATCTACTGAAGGTCAGAGGCTGTTTGGGACCCAGGAGAGAGCGACACAGCCCCCTCCCACCAAATAAACACGGTGGCACAGGATGGTCGCACTTCTGATTTTGCTTCTTCAGTGACAAAGTGTGTCTCAGCATTAGGATTCGTTTTCTTTCCTACGAGGAGTTTTAAAATACTTGCAAAGATAATTGTCTAATGAGGTCATTTTTGTACTAACCCTTTTCTGGAATCCATTGGGCTAGAAATGTGGTTTTCTTCAATCCAGCACAGTTTGTTTATTATACTCTTTTTTTTTATTATTATGATTTAAAAAATAGAAAAGGAAAAATACCAATCAGCTCGTAGGGCTTGGGTTTTTTCCATGGATTTGTGTCCCGTGCTTCATCAACTTTGTCTGAGAAGGCAGAAGTTCCAAAAGGAGCTTCTCCTGCACTTGGGGTGTTTCAGGTCTTCTCGTACAAACTGCCTGGCCTTTAATAAGAGGTAAGCACACGCTGGGAGCTTTCCCTCAGAGCCTGCCAGTTTCTCCCTCCTTCCCCACACTTATTTTCACACTACTGATAGAAAGAATCATAGAATCATAGCATTGTCCAGGCCGGAAGGGACCTCCAAAGGTCATCTAGTCCGACCCCCCCGCAGTCAGCAGGGACACCCCCAACTAGACCAGGTTGCCCAGGGCCTCATCGAGCCTCTCCTTGAATATCTCCAGGGAAGGGGCCTCAACCACCTCCCTGGGCAACCTGTTCCAGTGCTCCACCACCCTCACAGTGAAGAAGCTTCCCTCCACCATCCAACAGGCTCAAAAAGCTATTAGGGGCACAGACACGCAGCCTGGTCACATAAACCTCCTGTCTGTAAGAGCAGATCTGTTTCTCCCTGCCTCCACCACCCCTTCACAGCCTCCTTTGCTGGTGTCTCCCTTAGAGGACACACCACAGACAACAAAGTTTCTTACTGGATTTTGAAAACAAGTTAAAGACCATGCGAGGCTTACTTAAAAAATAGCAAATTTCAGGTTTAGCTTACAGAAAATAGGAACATTACGCTCATGCAAAGGTAGGAAATAGGCTTAAAAGTACTTCAGGGTGATTCTTGCGTCACACAGGGCTCCAAAGAACACCCTCCTAACCCCGTCCCGGCGTATATGTGACCTTTATTTGCAGGCAGACAATTGCAACAGCCTGAATGTCTGGAGCTGGAGTTTTCCCAGCGGGTTTCCCAGCTTGCTTACATCTGTACCAAGCTATGGACAGAGAATTGATGCGTGAGCATCTCACCTACATCTGCCTGAGGCTTTATTTGATGTTGGTGGCTGCCAGGCACCGTCAAGAATGGATTAAAAAAGCCCAGCTTTCAGAAAGTAACAGTTATACTTTTCATTATCTATATAATGGACCCACACTAAACTGTAAATTAAACCAAATGCAGATGAAGGAAAAAAAAAGACTATTGTGTATTTAAGAAACTTCCTTTAAAACAAATTATTTTATCTTGATCCAAACATTCACAATAGGAGGAAACTGGATGATCGCATGTTTACAATTGTATAATAGCTCCAAAACCAGTAAAGCATCCTCCTACTATATTAAGAGAAGATCCTTTAAAGATGAAAAATAAGATTAGGTGAAGGCTTCTTGACTGAATTAACCTAAGAAAAAATCATAGCAT